GGGGGGGGTTCTGCAACAGACAGGTAATTTCGGAGGACACCTCACAACCCAAACATTCGGGTTTAAGCTCGCCCCAAACCCTAAACCCTAGATTCCCTGCCTTAGCCAAGGCCTGGCATTCTGCACGTCGATGGGGGCGAGTGCCACCTGAGGGCTTAAGGCTTTTGGGTTTAGGGTCTAGGGTTTAGTGTTTCCAGGCTTTTGGGTTTAGGTTTGGTGGCTTTTGTTTTGCGAAGGAAGGTAGACTAATCAAGCCTGTACACTCCGAAACCCTCAACCCTATACCCTATACCCTACCCTGCACCCTAGCCTACACCCAATACCCTATACCGATTATACCCTACCTAGACCTATACCCCCTACATCCTGAACGTCAATCCGGCTTACAGTTACCAGGGAGAGCTGAATCTAAGCGCTTCAGGAGGGACCCTTAATAGGGACCCTTGTAGGTTATTGGGGTTAATAGGGAGACTACTTGGCTATATAAGGTGCATATAAGGATTATATAAGGATTATACAATGGTTATTCAAGGTAACGGCATTAATTAGGGGTCCCTCCTAAAGTCCTTATGCTGAAGCTGTTCGGGGTTTGCAGGGAAAAGGAAGTCGGTTTTTGGTGCTATGGGATGTAGCATAATGCAGGAACCTGATTAAGAAACCCTGGCCCTAAAGCACCAACATATTACAGTAACTAGGATTCATACTAAGAGCCCCAATAAAGACGCAGGGTTTCTGAGTCAGGCTCCTATATTAACCCTACACCCTGAGCCCGAATCTGGGGTGTTTAGCGGCTTCAGCCCTAAACCCCAAAGCCTACGACACCTAAAGCCGAATATCCCTAACCCCTTTTCCTCGCATCCCCTAAAAACCCTCAAGCCCGTGACCCTGAATCCCACAAAAGCATGCTGACCCTAAATAGCAGGATCCTCCTCATTATGGGACCCCAAAATAAGGTACCCTAACTTTCGGAAACTCCCAAAATAAACCCTAAACCCTTAAACCCTAAACCCTGAACCCTAAACCCTAAACCCTAAACCGGAAAAGTGAGGAAGAGACAGGTACCGACTCTGTTGAACAGTAGGATCCTCTTTTCGGGGCCCCAAAATAAGGTACCCTACCGTAACCCCTATAAACCCTACCTTAAGAACCCAAAACCAACTTTTTTGTAGGGCCCCTATAAATCCCATATTAGGGTTTATAATAAGAACCTACAAAAAAGTGGGTTTGGGGCTCTTAAGGTAAACCCTAAACCTTACACCCTGACACCTTTTCGGAAACTCCCAAAATGGAAAAGGTAAGGAAGAGACAGGTCCTTAAATAGTAGGGTTCTCATGATAAGGACCCCAAAAGAAGGTACCCTACAGTAACCCCTAAACCCTAAACCTAAAACCTTACACCCTGACACCTAATTGTCGGAAACTCCCAAAATAAACCCTAAACCCTAAGCCCTAGAACCCTAAACCCTAAAGCCCTAAAACCCTAAACCCTAAACCGGAAAAGGTAAGGAAGAGACAGGTACCGACTCTGTCGGACAGTAGGATCCTCATTATAAGGACCCCAAAAGAAGGTACCCTACACTAACCCCTAAACCCTAAACCTTAAACCCTGACACCTAAATTTCGGAAACTCCCAAAATGGAAAAGGTAAGGAAGAGACAGGTACCGATGACCCTTTAAGTAAACCCTAAACCCTAAACTCCCAAACCCTAAAACCCTAAACCCTAAACCCTAAACCCTAAACCTTACACCCTGACACCTAATTTTCGGAAACTCCCAAAATAAACCCTAA